GGAAGTAGATTGCCCAATGACACATAGGTTGTGCTCTGTCCCTCAGCCTGCCATCTGGGCTGCCCTCCCAGCCCTTGACCAACAGGGCAGGCAAGGCAGGAAGTTGATGAACACAGGCAGGGCAAGGAATTTGCCCAGCAGAGAGGCAGCAAACACCAGAGCCCAGATGGGGCTCGAGGGGGAATTACAGCATTTCAATCTTATCCAAAGATCTCTGCATCTCCAGAACACGTTAAATCCCCGGGGGATGCCTGGCGCTGACCACCAAGCCAGCAGCACAGGGATGTGGTACCAAGCTGAGGCCCTGGGGACATACTGGCTGGGGAGGTCAGCCTCTCTTTGGTGCTGTGCCCATGGTGTAGGTGTGTCGGGAGGATTAAAGGAAAGAAAGAATTACTCACTGAACATTTGTTATTATCACTACTGATCTGTATCACAAGGGGGCAGGACACAATGGTTAAGAGTACAGAGGAAGGGTGTGGGTGCAAATCCAGCTTATAACTGGCTCCGTTTATAGCCTGCCACTCTCTGTGCCTCTGTTTGCTCATGGGCAGTGCTGAACTGGTTAGAATCGTATCTACTTCCCAGGGTCACTGTTGTCAAGTCTCCAGCTCATGGCAGCCTGTCATGTAACAGAACGAAACGTTGCCCCGCCCTGCGCCGTCTTGGTGACAGTCGGCGTGTTACAGTCTACTGTGGCCACTGTGCCGGTCCGCGTCACGGACGTCTCCCCCACTCTTGCTGGCCTTCTGCTTTACCAAACATCATGGTGTTTTCTAGCGATTGGTCCTCCCTGATGACACGTCCGAACTCAGCAAGGCGAGATCTCGCCATCCTTGCTCCTGGGGCTGTGGTGAGGATGACACCAGTTACTATGTCCACGTGCAGGGAGGACATTGACGTGGCTCGTGGTAACTGCCGTATGAGCATCGTTGGTGTTCATCAGCTAACGGGGCCCCAGGAAGACAGGCTGTGGAAGTAAATCGCAGCAGATACCTGGGAGGCATGGTTTTCTCCGACCTCTGGTCCTGTGGACGCTTGTCTGCTCTCAGATTTGGTCTCATGGCAATGAGTGCGTCTGATTCAACATCTCAATAATGTCCCAAGGCACACCTGCCACACAGAACACGCAAATGCTTTTCTTTTCTGGTGGGCTGCCATCCCCATCCATCTGCCTCCTCTATTGAGTGTCCCTCAGGGACCCCTGGGAGAAAACACATCATCAGGGACAGAGCTGCTGCCCTCTGTGGACCCCAACCCTACTGATTTCCTGGACAGTCCAAACCTCTGGGTCACTTTCTTCCTTGACAGCAGGTCTGGATTTCTCTGGCCTAGACTTTCATGGGAGTCGCTAAGTGATGCAGACAGTTAATACACTCATGAAAGGTTGGCAGTTCGAGTCCACCCAGGGGGCCTTGGAAGGCCTGGTGAGCTACTTTTGGAAGAATCAGACATTGGAAGCGCTATGGAGCACCATTCTAGTCAGACCCCCCTGGGACCACCATGAGTCAGACCCAACTCAGACCCCCCTGGGGCCACCATGAGTCAGACCCAACTCAGACCCCCCTGGGGCCACCATGAGTCAGACCCAACTGGGTGGCAACTTTTTTTTTTGAAATGGATTTACATTTCTAATTTTTCAACAAATATCGGATCATACTTTTTTTTTTTTTTTTTTGCTCAGCAGTATGTTGTAGTCACCTTTCCATGTCAATGCCTACAGAGCTACCTCAGTTTCTTATTCTCTTCACTGGGTTTCATCATTTGATTGACATAATGTACTGAACCCATCTGCTGTTGTCGTACATAGAGATGGTTTCTGCTTGCTTCCCTGTTACAGACTCCACTGCAGTGAGCATCCTTGTAGATGTGCATCTGCACGCTCCAATGTTTCCATAAGGTACCTGTCGGCACACTTGGCGACTCTAAGAGTCTGAGCAGTTTAAATTCTGATAGCTCTCAGATTACTACCAAAATGCTCAATCAATATATACTTCCGCCAACGTAGAACTCAACAGACCTTACTGAGGATCGGGATCAAGAAGCATGTAAGCTTTCAGACAAACAATATGCCTACCAGGGACATGCACTCCTTGGAACAATCAATCACGGGAGATCGGAAGGGCAACATTTGCACAGGGAGACGGCTCAGGAGGCAGGAGTGCACAGGGAAGAAGGACACAGGGAAAAGGCAACCACAGGGAGGAAGTGGGAAGAGAGCTGTGACGTTGCGGGGACTGCAGTCAATGTCATGAAACAAAATGTGTGTGAACTGTTGAATGGAAAATGAATTTGCTCTGTAAACTTTCATCGAAATCACGATAGAAATTAAAAAAAAAAAGTAAATCAATTAAAAAATTAGCAATAATTAATAACTATTCTGTCCTGGAAGAAGTGCAGCCAGAATGCTCCTTGGAAGCGAGAATGGCCCTGGGCTTCACCTCACCTACGTTGGTCATGTTATCCTGGAGAAGGATATCGTGCTTGGTAAAGTGGAGGGTCAGCGAAAAAGGGGCAGACCCTCAAGGAGATGGGCTGACACAGTGGCTGCGGCGATGCGCTCAGGCACAGCCAGGACTGTGAGGCTGGCACGGACCGGGTGGGCTTCCGTTCTGTTGTCCACGGGGTCACTGTGAGTCGGAGCCAACTCGACAGCACCTAAGAACAACAATTCTGTCCGTTTCTACAAAAGTGTTTAGAAAAACCAACCATGGGAGATCAGAAGGGCAGCATTTGTACGGGAAAATAGCTCGGGGCAGGAATGCATAGGAAAGGACCCAGGGAAAAGGGGACCACAGGATGGAAGTGGGAAGAGAGCTGTTACGTTACGATTGCTATCAATGTCATGAAACACAATGCGTATGAACTGTTCTATGGAAAATGAATTTGCTTGGTAAAGTTCCTCCCAAATCACAATAAAAAAAAAAAAAAAGTATTTTTCAATGATACTTAAAGGGTGAGAGCAGATTCCCCTAACAACACCCCACATTCCCTGCCGGCAGAGAAAGAGAAGAGCCTGGGTGCTCATCACGATGACTATCAACAGACCCGGACCCGGGACAGCTGTGCCGGTGGGTCCTGCTGTCCTCCGTGTGCCAGCCTACAGTCTGCTCCCAGAACAAAGCCCTGGTTTCTGCATCTCACGTCCTCCCTGCGGAAGCAGTGCCCATCCTGCAATCCTTAAGGTATAACTCACAAACCATCACAGCGTTTGACCGGGATTGTCGTTCTCTGTTGTGAGGTTTCAGCTTCCATGTCACCACCTCAGAGAGAACTTCCCTGCTTGTTTTGGGCTCAGATGGAGTAGAGCCTCTCTTTTTTTTTGGGGGGGGGGCTGGGTATGTTCTGCCTGGAGCAGGTGAGGAGGCATCTGTTCGCCTACTGAAAGCAGGGCATGAACGCTCTTTGGGAAGAAAAGGCACCATTTGCTCTTGCTGCTGTGAATAATAATACAATTACTGCTTCCCCAAAAAAAGCACGTAGGCCAAGTCTCCTTTCTTCAGTGCAGGCCAGCTCTGCTGCTGGGCCCTGCCAGGCCTTTTGCTGTCTGCAGTGTTACAGCCATGACCCGGGTTACGGCCCTTTTAGGAGCTCCCTTGCTTCCTCTGCGCTCTGCTTTTGATCTCTTCTGTTTCTCCCTGCTGCTTCTCTTCCTGCCCTTTCTGTCTCCTGGCCTCTGTCCACTGACTGCTGAAAGACACAGATTCCTTGTCGGTGTCAAGGCGTGGCACTCCCACCAGGGCCACAAACTGACCAGTTCCTTCTTGGTAGGCCACAGACATTTCGTTTGCATAGTAGGCTCAGCTGGGCCACCACTCCCCTCATTTGCATAGTCTGTGGACCAATCCCTGCAAGGTGCATACCAATCACAGGTCAGGCTGCAGCCCAGGACCAAACCAAGTTGTTTTTAGCTTGCCCGAGATCTGACAATCGACCTGGACAGAAGTAACAAATCCTTGGGTAGACACCTAGGGCAGAGTCCCAGGGCTTAGGGGAAAGATCCCCCAAGTGGTTTTTCCAAAGAACCAATGCGAAAGGCCACATAAAGGGACTCATCTCACCACAAGGCACTTCTTTGTTCTGCAGGGTCACTATGAGTCAGAATCCACTCCATGGCAATGCTTTTATGGAAAAAAATGGCTAAAATTGATCATTTAAAACTGGTTCAACTGGCAAATCTGTATCTATTTATAGAGATATTTATTTTGAGGAATTGACTCGTGATTGGGGGGACTGGCATGTCCAAAATCTGTTGGTCAGGTGACAGGCTGGAAATTCCAGCATTCTTATGTCCCACATCGGTGGGTCAGGTGGTGGAGAGGGTGGAATTCTGACAGAATGTCTACTTATAGTCTGCACACAGACTCCTCCCTCAGGAAACCGCTGGCTCTGAGGGCCTGCAACTAAGTGGCCCACCCACATTACGGAGAGTAATCTGCTTTATTAAAGAGCTGCTTGCAGTGTTAATCACGTGTGAACACTGCCTCGCAGCATCTAGCCAAGCTGACACATAAAATTAACCATCCCAGATATGAAATTCCCAAGGAAGTTGCTGCCAGGCAAGATGCCAAGAGTTTAAAGAAACCAGAAAGAATTAATTTGGCACTCTTGAAACCCCTCATCCGCCTCAGGACAATAAAGGAGCTGAGAATGGAGTCTGGAAGGGAAAGTTTGTGATGACATTTATTTAAAAAGAGCCCTGAGTTCCAACACTCTTCTCAGAGAGGGGGGCATAGGCACCTTCTAACCCCAAATCCTGTGAGAAGCCTTCACAGAAGCTGCCTGAACAGCTCAAGACCGCACAGTGGTGCCACCCAGTGGTGTGAGGCCTGAGGCACAGGGCATCCTTGGAGGAGGGTCAGTGGTACATAAAAGCCAAACCCACTGCCATCCGGTAGATTCCTACTTATAATGACCCTACAGGCAGAGTGGAACCGCCCCACAGGGTTTCCAAGGCTGTAATCTTTACGGACGCAGACTGCCACATCTTTGTCCTGCAAAATAGCTAGTGGGTTTGAACACCTACCTCTCAGCAACCAAGCACTCAACCACTGCGCCACCAAGGATCCTCCTTAATGGTCCATGAGACCTCTAGTTGTTGTTGTTGTTATGTGCCGTCAAGTCGGCCCCGACTCATAGCGACCCCTCCTTGGGTTTCCGAGGCAAATCATTACGGAAGTAGGATTGCCCAACCTTCCTTCCAAGGAGTGGCTGGTGGGTTTGAACCACCAGCCTTCTGGTTAGCAGTCAAGTGCTTTAGCCACTGTGCTACCAGAGCTCCTGAGACCTCTAGAGAGGCTGTAATTCCTGCCCAGCAATGAGAGAGGAAGGGAGTCCCTGGATGGGACACATGGTTAACACACTAGGCTGCAACTGAAAGGCTTAGGAGCTCGAACCCAGCCAGAGGCTTTGGAGGAGAAAGAGTCGGCTTCCACAAAGACTGCAGCTAAGAAAACCCTAGGGGGCAGTTCCACTTTGAAGCACATGGGGGCACTATTGAGTCAGAGTTGCCTGGACAGCAATGAACAACAATGTGGGGGGAGAGTCCTGGGTGATGCACAGCGTTAGTGGCTGGTGGCGGGTCAGAGACTGGAGTCTGCCCCGAGGCGACTGGGAAGAAAGGCACCTAGATCTGCAAAGCCAGCTGTTGGAAGCTCTGTGGAATGCAGTTCAGCGACCTGGCAGCAGCTGGAACGGGTACTAAGGGCTGACATGTTGATGCTGGAGAGCTTCCAACAGTTTCCAGATTAAGGTGGGCTGGGAAGGAAGGCTTTACTCGCAAACATGAGCCGATGAAAACCCCACGGACCACAATGCAGGTCTGCTCTCACGTGGGGATGGCGGGGGACCTGGTAGCATTTCATTCCATTATGCCTGGTGCCTCCATGAGGCAGGGTCCAGCTCGATGGCACGTAGGAAGGGTCCTGCCCAGAAGGCTTCTGTTACCTAGCCTGCACTACCCAACAAAGAGGGTCTGTGTGCCAGCCGAAAGAGAGGTCCTGTCCCCTTCCCAGAGGCTCAGTCAAGGGGGTGGCGGAGCAAACTCACTGCCATAGAGTCGATTCCAACTCATGGCGAGCCCATTGCGTTTCCAAGGCAATAAATCTTTATGGAAGTAGGTTGCCCCATCTTCCTTCGGTGGGGTGGCTTGTGGATTTGAACCGCCAACCTTCTGGTTAGCAGTCAAGTGTCTTAGGCACCATGCCACCAGAGATCCTCCAGAAATTCATCAAAGTCCCCCCAAGGGCAGCCAGCTTTAAACAGCTGCCACCCAGAAAGTGAGACGCTGTCACATCGTGCCAATCTAGGAAGGACTTCCTGAGCCCGCCCCCTGGCTTCCTTCCTGTGCCCCAGCATCAGGGGCCCTACTGACTGGGAATGGAGAACCCTTCCTGCTCCATCCAGCATCTGCCCACCAAAGTGGGCATTCCAGTAGAGACACGCTTAGTGGCATCAGGGCACCAGAGCACGGTGAAGGAGGAAGCATGACCCAGGAAGTCCTGACTGGGTCTGGAGGCAGAGAGAGGCGCTCCCCCACCCCATGAAGTTCAGGGGGACACTGGGAAACAAAAAGAATCTCTCTGTTCTACCCGTGAATCCTGTTTGGTCAAAGTAGGGAGCTCTGGTAGCATAGTGCCTAAGGCACTTGACTGCTAACCAGGAGGCTGGCGGTTCAAACCCACCAGCCACTCCTCGGAAGGAAGGTGGGGCAATTTACTTCCATAGTGATACTGCCTCGGAAACCCAAGGGGGGTTCGCTATGAGTCGGGTCCAACTCGACGGCAAATAAACAACAACAAAAGCCATGACTGATGAGGGTGTTGGACTGGGAGTGATGTGGTCTGATGGACGTTTTTAGACGATCTGGTAGCACAGTGCCTAGGGCATTTGGCTGCTAGCCAGCAGGTTGGAGGTTCAAACCCACCAGCCACCCCATGGAAGGAAGACTGGGCAATCTACTTCTGTAAAGATTTATTGCCTCTGAAACTCAAAGGGGGTCACTATGAGTCGGAATCGACTCTATGGAAGTGAGTTTGGGTTTTTGTTTGTTTGTTTAATGTTAACAAAAACTGCTGCTGAGTGGAGATTAGACTGAGGGGCCAGGATAGAAGCAGACCTGTCATCCAGAATGAGACTGGAGGGCTTGGGCGGAGAGGATGGCTTGAGAAGAGGAGGGATCTGGAGACCGGACCTGAGCCTGCCACCCTCTACAGGTTAGGAGGGGTCAAGGAGGCCAGATGGGAGTGGCCAGTTGGGAAGAAGAGAGCTGAAAAAGCGAGGGCTCCCAGCCAATGAAGAAAGTGTTGCAAAGAGTAAAGAGTGGTCAGTCATGACAAGTTGCTGCAAGGTCAAGGCGAGGCCGCCTGAGAGTTAACAGCTGACTTTGGCAGCCTTACTCGTTCCCTGGGATCCCTCGTGACGTAGTAGTCAAGTGCTTGGATGCTAAGCCAAAGGTTGT